TAAATCTTTATGCTTTAATATCTGCTCTCATTTCTCTACAGTTCTTCTCCTGTTATTTTCTCCCCTCTCCCACTCTTCTTCTATTATAAGGTGATCACTTTAATTACTTTCTTGTTTCTAATATTGACTTATGTAAATTCACATATTTAAAACTACATGTCTCTGAATTACTCCACTCTTCACAGATTGCAAACTATGGCCATTGATGTATACTTTAGCAACATATTCCTACCTAATTTTTTCTTTTTTCATTTCTTTACTTCTTGTTTCCTCTTCATAAAGGAACGTCTCTATAAAGTCCTGGCTGACCTGAAAATCACTAAATAAAACAGGCCGGCTTTGAACTCTCAAAGATCCACCTGTCTCTGCCTCACAAGTGTTCAGTTTATAGACATCAAGTACCGTGCTCTGAAATTTTATATTATAGATAGCAATTGTACAAAATAATGGCTTGTGAGTATATGATGCAATCAGTTTTTGTTCTACCCTCTTATCCTTACCCCAACTTCTTCTCTCTGGTTCCTTCATGGGCCCTAGGAATTTTTATATAAGTTCATGACCTAAAAAAATAAATTCCATACATGAGATGGTATAAGCAATGTGTGCCATTCCAAATCTACCTTATTCACTTAACCTCATTATCTTCTGTTCTGTTAACTTTCCAGCAAATTATATAATCTAATTTTTATTGACAAAAATTCTCCATTATGCATATCCTATTGTTATTTTGCAATAGTGTAAACACTGCTCAGGGAACACTGTATGCAGGTACTGTCATTTTTTGTGTTTTGATTACTCAAATATATATCCTGCAGTATTACAAATGAATAATATGGTAATTCTATTTTTATTCTTCTTGAGGAACTTTGATACTGATTTCCATGGTTCTATTCAAAACAATATTTCCATCAACTGAAGGGGATGTCTTTCTCTCATCTTCTCCAGACATTATTTTTGTTTTACTTAAACATAGCCATTCCACTGGAGTAATAAAAAATTTGAATGGATTCTGATTTACATTTGCCTTATGATTAAAATTCTTGACCCTTTCTGTTTTTATTGGATATCTCTACTTTGTGTTTATTGGATGTTTGTATTTCTTTTTTAAAGTATCTGTACATCATATTTCTCCATTTGTCCACTGAATTTCTTAGGCTTCATTTTTTATGAGTTCTTCAAATATTCTGAGTATCAAACTACTGCCAGACATATAGGTAGAAATAATTTTCTCCCACTCTGTTGACTACATTCTTCTTCTCTTAGTCTTTTTCTTTCATGTACAGATGTCTTTTGTGGTTTTTAATATGATGAAATCCCACTTGTCAATTATTCCTTCTGGCTCCTGGACTGCTGAATCCTTTTACAGAAAAACATTGCCTATTTTTATATCCTGGGTTGCCTCTAAAAAATGTTTCAGTTATTTTCTATCTTACAGTGTTATTATTGGTTTGACATTTCATATAAAGATCTTTGATTCATTTCACATTTCTTTTTGTTTTTGTTTTTTTTTTTTTTCAACAATATTCATTCTTCTGCCTGGGGACTCCCACTTTTTCAGCACCATTTTTTGAAGAGGCTGTATTCAACAGAAACATTTGTTTCTGCAACATAAATTTCAGATACCCCTGTTGAAATCTGTTGCTATACAGGTTTGTTTTGGGTCCAGTATTCTCTTCCCTTGCTATACATATTTGCTTTTGTACTATGGCCATAGTGTTTGTACGACTATGGCTTAGCTGCATAGTTTACAGTTGCATATAGTTTGAGCATTTGCTTTTTTGTTTATTAGTATTTTGACTATTCAGAATCTTTTACACTTACATGTGAATTTTAGGATATTTCCTTGTATTTTGAACAATGCCATTAGAACACATTGGTATATTTTTTAAGAATTTGTAGGTTGTATTTGGTAGTATGGTCATGTAGCCAATAATGATTCTGCTGATGTTAATTCTAGAGCATAGCCCCAGCCCCTGGCATCCATCCCAGCCCCTTATCCTGGGAGTTGCATTAGTCTGGACTCCAAATCCCAGCATGCTAGGTGCTGACGCCTCCCTGGGTGAGAGTCAGGACCACTCCCACAGGGTATTTGATTGGGGAGGGGAGTTCCCAGGGGAGAAACACATGGTTCTGAGTTTGCATGTGCTCCCCACTTTCCTGTCTCCCTGCCTAGTGCTAGGCCACCCAAGAGTGCCATATTTAACAAAATGAGGAACATTTTAATTTGGTTTGATTTGACCTAATTGGATTTCTTTGAGACAGCAGAGCTGTCCCACTTAGGATTTTTTTTTTAAACACTGATCTATAAACGTAAAATATCTTCAAGTGTCTTCTTCAGTTTCTTTTGTTTTCTGTAATCTTCATCATAAAGGCATTTCACTTCCTTGTTTAAGTTTATTCCTTGATATCTCATTAATTTTGAACTTTTAATGAGATAGATTCCTTGATGTTTTTCACATTCATTAATAGTCTTTCCAAACTTTTTCTGTATTGACTTTGTGTATTACTCCTTTGTCATTCAGATAGAATACTGAGGGTCACCTGTTTATTATTTTATCACTATAGTTTGCTTTATCTAATGGATGGCCATGGTTTTATACATTATTTTATTTTTATACAATGCTTATGGATTGACATATACAAAATTTTTGTATCATATGAATGGAACTGACTTGAAATGTTCTATTTTTGTTTTATTTTTTAATAATGCCAAAACCTTGTAGCATAGCAATAATCCATCTAAATCCTTTAATATGTTTTTAGATAATTTTACAGGTAGTAAATAACTAGAAATTTATCCATTTCTTCTGAATATCCCACATGTTATGAGTATTTATTGACTCCTAGTGATCCCCTCCATTTTGGTGAATATTTTGTAATATTTCCTTTTCATATATTACTTAAATATTTTACTATTCTCAAATACTGTTAATTTGAATCATATGTCATCAATATTGTCTCTACAGTTTTTCTTCATTTGTTTTTACACACCAACCAAAGCTTTCCCTCCATCACCTCTTCCCACTTCTCTCATGCTACCTTACCTTCCCCCCTAAGCCACTCCCCCCCCCTTCACTAATTTTCTTCAGAAAATGGTAGGCCTCTCATGGATATCAGTCAACCACAGTATATCAAGTTGCAGTAAGATAGGCATCTCATATTAAAGTTAAATAAGTTAATCTGGTTGCACAACTATGTGCATAGCATCTTTATTCATAATAATCTATGAGTTCTTAAAACCAACTCTGTTTTGATCTTCTGCATTAACTTTTTGCCTCTCTTTAATTAATTTCAGCTCAAAACTTTTTGCTACATTTCTCTCTGTCCTTCCTTTTTTCTCTTTTCTTTGCTATTTCTCTCTTTCACTCTTTTTCGCTTTCTGTTCTTTGATTTCATTTGTGTTTAGGCTGTCTTCAATCTCCCTTCAAAACTGACCTTGAACTCCTGATTGATCTGTCTTTATCCACTTTACCTATGCTGGGACTAGAGGTGTATAACAACACTCCTAGTTTCTGTGGTGCTGCAAATACTAAGTAAGTACTCAAACAATACTACATCCTCACCCTCTATTTCTCTGTACTTGTTTCTTTTTCCTAGAACTTTAAGATACATAATTAATTTATTTAATAAATGAATTTATTAATTCATCAATTTATTCTTTATGACTGATATTCTAATGTATGTGATCTTATTGGAAAACGTCCTTCCTGGAACTGGCTATTGCTTTATCTAAATCTGAGAAGTTAATTGGGATCTGAATGATTCCATATTTCTTCATATTCCATCAAAGTTATAACTCTAGTCCAGTATTTAGGAAGTTAAGTACTTTCTAAATATGCTATATCATATTTTCTATAAACATTATCATTACACTCTCATTTTCTTTTCTCTGTTTTTTTCTTTTAACTCCATTTTCCTTACTCTCTTCAAACTATCCTAAAAAATGTCTATCTGATTGTAAATCCCAGCAAGGGAGTGGCAGTAGCCGAGGATTACATGTTTGAGGGTAGCTTGAGTTATATAGGGAGACCTTGTTCAGAAAAGCAAAAACAAAATGATTGAGTTACAACAAAATAAAAAAAACAGTATCATGTATGTCGTCAGTTATGCTTGTCTACTGTAGAGAATTACATTCTTCATATAATGTGTTTCAACCCAATAACCCTATTTTCCCTCCTCCCTAGCTCCTTCTTCTTCTCCAGCATGCTTTCTCTTCCATCAGAACCATATATTTGCTAGGATATTCTATACATTTCTGTCTTTACCTTCATTCCACAGATAATTGAGATCATGCCAGAAATAAGCCATTTTTTTTTTGTCATTATGTTTGTCAGTTCTTAAAAAAAAAAGTTAGGATGTAAATAAAGTTGTTAAATTCTTTTTTAAAAAAATGATTAGAATATGCCCTTTTATTCTGTTCCTAGAATAAAAATCAATGTTAGGTAGACTTAAACTATTCTGGAAGAACACATGAATGACAAATGGATCTTCAATTTAGAACAATAAGTTGAAATCATAAAAGTTACTGTGTTCTTCTGTGAATGACTCTAATGTTCCCTCATAACCAGGTTTCAAATGAAGAACTACATTAAATACCCATACCAGCCAATCAAATTTACAGTAACATTTATGTTACAGTTGAAAACGTTCCTGTTTATGGATTTTTCATGTGTGTTTTACAAAATAAATGTAACCTAAGTTTTCTGTTAAGTTTATTTTGTTACTGGTGAACAGATATCCATATTTTCTTCAAAATTTGAAAGTAATATGTGACAGTCCAAAACTGTACACTTATTTTAATGTGAGACCAAATGTAACAATGATGTGTTATGTAAATAATGAACAAGTAAAAAGAAAAAAAATATGATTCTAAATTAATTTTAACAATATGAATATTATCCTATAAAACACAAAAAATTGTTGACTATAATAATCTGAACTATTTCTAAATATATTCTTATATATTAAATAAATAATAATTATGAAAATTTCATACTTACTGAAGAATACACATGGTGATAGGTATACTAGGCAAATTAGAAAAAATAATTGAAGAAAAGTAAAAAGCAAAAAACAAAGGTAGTGTGTGACAATTGGTATTACATTTTCCAGAAGAGGCATCAATAAAGTGACCCTCAGAATCCGAAGTTGTCAATCCTTCTTTAATGCAAGAGCAATTGTAAAAAGTCTGTGAATTTGGAACATAAATACAGTATTTCAGAAACAGAGAGGAGACAATAGCTTTGGTATTATAAAAATAAAATTAAATCAATATTGAAAGAGATACTGCACAGAGTTTTGATTGTTTTATGCTAGTATTTTTAATTTAGTGATATTAAAATATGATGTCTTTTCCCCTTCATTTCGCCCTTCCAATGCCTTCTCTGTGCCCCCTTTCAAATTCATAGCCTCTTTCTTAATGTAAGATGCTCAATCTGTATAGTATTATTTGTAGATATGCTTTTAGAGTTGACGTTTAAGTTTTGGAAAACCAGTTGGTGGGTTTTTCCCTGCTGAAGAATATTCTCCTTTTCTCAGCATTCCATATATAGGGTTTCATTATGTAGCCCTGACTGGCCTGGAACTCAAAGAGATCTTTTTGCCTCTTCTTCCACAGTATGGAGATTAAAGGCATTGGCAATCACATACAGATTAGATTGTCTAGTTTTAATGAATATACTCGTGTTAGACCTGCCATACATTATTTAGAAATGTAATATTAGTTATAATATCTTTAATATTTTACATGGAAATGAATTAATTTATTCATAGGTGTTTGTGGGTATATAATTCTTATAAAAGAAGAGAGTGATACAAATTTAAGAAATAATAATCATGTTAAGTTAAATTTATCATTGTGTAGGATTATAGATTAAGCACAAATAAAGGTATGTAAATATAAGTTAAATTTAGCAATACAAAGAATCAATGAAATAAATAGCTGGTTCTTTGAGAAAATCAAGATAGACAAACCCTTATCTAAACTAACTAAATAAAGAAGAAACAATATCCAAACTAATATAATAGGAAATGAAAGAGGAGACATAACAACAGAGACCAAGGAAGCTCTGACCATCATAAAGGCATAGTTTCAAAATCTGTACTCCACAAAATTGGAAATTCTAAAAGCAATGGATGCATTTTATTACAGACACCACTTAATCAAAGTTGAATCAAAATAAAATAAAAACATTTAAATTTCTATATCTTCTGGTGAAATAGAAGAATCCATTAAAAGTCTAATGAACAAAAATAAATAATAAATAAATAAACAGAGCCAGCCAGACACACACACACTTATTCGTCTCTCCTTCCCAAATGCAATAATACAAATGTTCCATATTAGTGATTCTCCACAGACTCAAAACTAATACGGCAAGCTGCAATGGATTAACACTTTGAAAGCATGAGAAAAAAATAAGCGTTTCTTTAAATTGTTTCTGTCTGTAGTTGTCACAGTACAGAAAGTTTAAATCTCTTCCTTAAGTGGTTGGATGAAAAGTACATTCAACCTAACATCCTATGCCCAATGAAAACTTTTCAGAAATGATGGAGAAATTCTTTAGACAGAAAAAAAAATCAGTACCACAAAAAACATGAAAATAAAAGAAAATGTGCAAATATTGACTGTAAAAAAGAAACAGTTGGTAATATCGTGTGCCATTTAAAGCATATGAACAAGTAGGAGTACCAGCTTGTACCACCTACCTTGGGCATATACCCAAAAGTATCTACATCCTACTACAAAGACACTGGTCAAACATATTCATTGCTGATCTATTTATAGTCAGAATTAGAAAACTGCCTAGATGTCCATTAACAGATAAATGGTTAAGGAAAACACGGTATTGTGACATAATGGAATATTACTCAGCTGTAAAACAGTCATAAAATTTGCAACTAAATGGATGGATTGATAAAAAAAAAGTCACCCTGAGTGAGTTTATCCCAGGCTCAGAAGACAAATATTTTATGTTATGTTATGCATGTTTATTAACTGTTAATGCAGTGACAAGCAAGCTACAGTCTGTAGAATCACAGGAGTTACATGTAGAGACAGCTGCAAGGAGAAGGGATGGATCTCCCTGAGAATGGGGAACAGAATAGATAGATGTGGATGTACATGTGTGGGAGGATCAAATTGGGAGGGGGAGACAAGGGAGAATTATGGGGAAGGACTACTAATACTTAGAGCACTGAAAAAGTCATATGGAAACATAATATAATAGAAACTTCCTATACTATAAACATGTATGAAAGAAATCTTGATGTAATCACAAAATAACAAGGGAGACAAAGCCCAAGCTATATATCTTTCACTACCCAATGAAACCTGTAGTTCAGGGAATTGATTACACATGAATTTTTTTTTGTCAAAGAGAATGCATGTTCTTTGCATTTCCAATCAGTTAGGCTATTTCAAAGGCAATATTTTACTCTCCAATAAATTATTGAGAAAGACCTCTTACTAAAGACAATGCTTACATAACTGAACTAGTGTGGAGAATTGAGCTCGTGCCTACCTAGAGTCTTCACCTCACAGACTAGAACTAGCATTCATGGTACTATATGCTACTCTGCAAGCTACCAAGGGAGAAAGGTAAGCACCAATCCAGCACAATGGTGACTAGTCTGCAAGCTATGCTGATGCAATAGTGGCACACAGTTTATGGGAGTAACCAACCACTGTCTAACTGGATTTAATGACAGTTCTATAAGCAGAACCTATTTTCCCATACTTCTTAGTGGCCAATAATGTATGACCACATAGACCACAGACCTAAGGGGAAAACTTAATATTACTATTCAGCTAAAGGAGCATAGGCACTAAAACACTTCTAAAGACAATCCGCTATACAAATCAGTGTCTCACATGGCCGTTATCACAGGACTTTCTTCCAGCAGTAGATGGGAACAGATATAGAGATCCGTGTCTATGCAGAGAGTGAGAGTCCTTTGAATATTCACTCCTAAACAGGATGTCTACATGAGGTCCTTCCTCTAAGATCTTAGAGAACTCTTCAGAAGAGTAGGCAGAAAGATTTTTAAATCCAGAGGGGATGAAGTACACCAAGAAATACGGTCTTCTAGACACAGCAGAACAGGTGCACAAATGAACTCACAAAGACAGTAACAGCATGCACAGGGCTGGGCCAGACATGGTCATGAGCTCTGAAAGGGGAGGTAGATAACTCAGAAGTTATCTCCAATTTACAACCACTTGTAAAGGAGAAAAAAATTAGTCTTTTCCAAACAAGTCTCCCTGAGCTTCAAACTACTCTCAATGGCAGACTTCATGCTCATCAATAGCTGCCTGACACAAGCCAAACAAAATGGTAGATTTTGAGGGATTTTGTTTTGTTTTACTGTTATTATTGTTTTTGTCACATAATACTTTGTCTGGAGAATTTAATTACTTATTTATCTATTTAAATTTTTACTTACAGATCTCTTGCTTATAGAGTATGGATTTCAATTTCATTTTTATGGGATTTCAGTGTTTGTGAATGCATGTCTTTTAGCATCTCTGTGTGTTTCTTGTGCTTTTATTTGGGCACTTTTCCCCTCCATTTGTCTTGCACTATTCTGGCATGTTTGTTTTTATTGTATCTTCTCATTTTTACTATAATTAGGTGCCTGCTTGTTTTCTAATGACAGAGAGAATGGAAGGTAGCATATTTACCTAGGTATGGAAGTGGGGAGAATCTACTAAGCATTGAAGGGGGTGAATCACAATCAAAATACATTATATGAAAAATGTATTTTCTATTAAATATTAAAGTATAGGCATGCCCACAAAAATTAAAATACATGAACAAATAGAGCTTGGGAGATGTCTCATTCAGTAGGGTCCTTGTCATTCAGTAAGACAAGCCTAGTTTGCATACCCAACTCCCATGGGAAAACTACATCTGTAACCCTAGTTCTGAGCTGGGAATGGGAGAAGAGTGGACCCTGGAGATAACGTGCCCCCCACCTGACAAAACTAATAAGATTCAGATTCAATGAGAGACCCTATCTCAAATATTAAGGCAGAAAACAAATGAGGAAGACATTCAGTACCAACTTCTAGGTTACACACACACACACACACACACAAATACTGACCATATACTAAATGAGTAGATATGTATGGAAAACATTTATGAACCTAGAACAATAATAATTTAAATTATGAAAATACCCTAAGATCTCCTTTCTGTTTCTAAAAATATATTTAACATTTGGCCCGCCTAAGAGGAACTAATAATTCATTTTAAAATATCCATTATGGTTTGCAAGCCAAAAAAAAATGCTTGAATTATATCACATTAGCAGCTTAGTTTATTTATTAGCCTCCGTGTATTACCCTATCTATACTATCTGGTTTTATGTGTCAAAGACAGAAGCTAGAATCATCAGAGAGGAAAGATCCTCAGTTGAGGAAATGCCTTTGTTATATTTGTTTGTAAAGCATTTTTCTCTATTAGTGATCAATGAGGAAAGGTCCATCCCATGATGGAAGGGCTGTTGGTCCTGGGTTCTGTAAGAAGATGGGTTTAGCAAGTTTGAGAAGCAAAGCAGTAACTAGCACTCCTCTACTGCCTCTGCATCAGCTCCTACCTCCAGTATCCTGTCCCGTTTGTGTTCCTGTCCTGACTTCATTCAATGACAAACACTAATGAAATCTAAGCCCAATAAATCTTTCTTTCCCTAATTTGATTGTTGGTCATGGTGTTTCATTGTAGCAACAGAAACCCTAACTGAAAAACCTATATAAGACACATTTTTTGGCTTTGTTTTTCTGTCAGATTATAAACTCTCACAGAAAGCCATCACTGTCCTTTGGCACATAAGGGATTCCTTAATACTTATGATGAGATGTAAACTAGCTCTTCCTTTGTTAATGAGAAGGAGGTCTCTGTTGAGCTAGAGAAGTTGCTGACAGTTTTCATCCTTGCTATGTTATAAGGAAAGCTACAAAAGAAAACAAAAAGAAATAGCCAAAGATACAAAATCATAGAGAAAAGTCCAAGTGTTTTTATTACATTAGTAAGTAAAAAAACAAAGAAAAAGAATGAGCATCTTTTAGGAGCATACGATGTGTTCTAAAGGAGACCCACTGTCGCGATTATTCACATGATGAAAATCTTTATTTTTGTTTCAATAATGGGGAAATTTCTCCTTAGTTTTGTCAAAATTATTTTGTTTCAGGTCTTTCCCATGTGACACTAATGAGGATTCTGAACATTGTTCAGTTCTATCCATACCAAATTTGTCTAACCGTTGTCTTGGGCTTTGTCAATTTTGCTTCAGAGTAATATATAATAGAAGAAACAGGTACATGTATGAATTAAGGATTTACAATAACTTAGTCAACTTTTGAAGATGGAAAACTCTGTATGGGAGTCATTATTCTTTTCTATTCCATTTAATTTTTTCCAGATTTTAAAGACTTAAATACTATTTTAACATATCTTTTAAAAAAAAACTTTAAATGCCATATTATGTAGGTGTTAGAAGTGTTGAAGATTATCTGTCTAATTGAAATATATTTGTTTATGCAGAAAACTTACCTAATGTAATTAAAAGTTTGATTATTATAGCCATCTCTTAATCTGTATTGCTTAATTATACATTATATTTTTAAATGAGCTGAATAAATGTAATACCTTAAACAAGAGTAGAAATATACATATAACAAAATTGGCCTTAAATTTGTATCAAAAAATCAAGATCCATACCAATGCAAAGTATTCATTTCTATATCATTTTCCCCTTTATTTGAAAACAAACATTTATGAACTATCATTTTGGGAATTTGGGTATAGTTTTTTCCCATCTACTTCTTGTTATTGTAGGGCAAAGTATTTTTAGAGGTCACAAGGATCTTTTGGAAGGGACTTGTTTCATCAAACCACATTAGCATGGAAGTAATCCACAGGTTCTTATCTTCTGTAGAAGCAAAAGCAGAAACTCTTTTCCAAAGTAATATATCCTTAGACTCAAATTTTGAGTCAAGATACCTTAAAATGTATATGTTGGTTTAGCTTAGTAACCTGTACAATGAAATGTCTATCTGCACTGAGCTCATTTATAGTAAAAAAATTCAAATAAAACATAATAGTATACATAATACAGATTCTCTTTGTATTTTCCATCTTTACATGGCTCCTTTTTCTCTGTTATTTTTAATATTTCCTTTCATCTGTGTCTGTCTATATTCTTTTATATTACTTTTACTTTGTTTTATTCTTTAAAATTATTTTGTTCTATAACTGCCCATAACCTTTTTTAAGCCTATATTCATTTTTTTCAAATATTCTGTGTCCCATTCAGAGGTTTATTTTGCCAGAATTTATCTTGCTGTGTATCCGCAATCATTTTCTGACCAGGAGCATTTTTTTTTTTATGCTCAGTGGGTATGGATAGGACCAAATCCACAGCCCTGCATCCCATCCTGTGGGTCTATGCCAACATTAAGCAAGTTGTAACACACTGTTCAGAGACCCCATTTAAGTGTTGCATAACAGGACCAGCATGGACCAGGAAGCCGGCTCTTAATAAAGCCGCACAATTTTTGCTGCTAACACTGAGTCCGGAAGTTTTCTCTTACAGGAGTCCTTCCTTTGCTCTCCTCTAGCAAACAGAGGGCTATTCGAGAAAATACTGCTACCAAGAAGCCGTGCTTAACTCTGTCCTTACGTGTCTTGAAGTTCTTCCTGCTCCCTCAGGTTTTATGTGGATGTAGTTGGCACACGTTGGCACCATTTGTAGAAAGGAGGCTGCTCATCTGTTTCCCAGCTGACCATACCCAAATCATCACAAAGAAACTATATCAATTAAAACACTGTTTGACCAATAAAGGCAAATATAAAAGCAAAATTTTACAGAGAGGAGTTGAATTTAGTCACTATCTCCAAATTAAACATATTACCAGAGAAGAAAAAACACAATAAATAAAAGTTACCTTTTCATTGTGTAAATATTTACCATTACGGCAGCCTGCATAGCACGCAGAGAAATACTCTATATCATCTCTTCCACAAACAGAAGCATAGAGTGTGCTTGTGCAATCACATTTCTCGTTGCATGGAGCTGTGAAGTTTCCAAGGATACCTGTCCTGTGAAGTTGACATTAAATACAATTATAACATCACCATTTAAATTATTGATGCATATAACAATATATCAATAAGATCTGCAAATATGCACATTTAGATAATTTATTTTTCACAGATTTACTAAGGTATAAAAACATAAAATGCACATTTAAGAGTATACCACTGATAGTCCTAGAGAGATGGCTTAGCTCTTAACAGCACTTCCTGCTGTTTCAGAGGACCAAAATTCCATTCCCATCTTTCACAATGCAGCTCACAGCCACCTGTGACTCTAGTTCCAGAGAATCTGATGCCCTCTTATGATCTCTACAGCTACCAGGCATGTAAGTGGTTCATATCAATACATGCAAATGATATTTTTGTGCTTTATATGAACATATGTTTCCATGGTTCTTGTGTTAAGTATTAAAGGTAGAATATTTAAATTGTGTGAAAGGTTTTATGTAACTATTTGAGAATTATCTTATGTGTGTGTGTGTGTGTGTGTGTTTTGTTGGAATGTATATTTATTCCTTGTGTGAGTACAGCACCTATGGAAGCAAAAATTTGTCATTCAGTTCCTGGGAGATAGGCTTACAGACAGTTATGATACCCAGTGTGAGTCTTGAAAACCAAACCTGGGTCCTCTGGAAAGAGGACAAGTGTTCGTAAACACTGAGCCACTATCTACCTACCCTTACACACCCCTCTTTTTTAAATGTTATGAGAAACTGTCAGTTTCCAAAAATGGTTTATTGTTAGGAGCACAAGGTCCTTCTGTTCACAGATCAGCTGGGAAACCAGAAATGTTAAGTGCACAGGGTTTTCCTTTCAAAGGAGTGGACTTTTAGCCTTTTCTTCCATCAAGGAAACTGGGAATTGGAGGAGAATAACAGCCATGTGATCTGTATTATCCATTGGGTAGGTAATATGATGATCTCAGAGCCAGGACCAGAGGTAATTTAAAGAATCCTTACATTACATGTATAGCCATGGGGTCTCCCAAGCTCCTATAACAAGGAAAAGAGGTGGCTGATAGCTTGTGTGATCTCTGCTCTGTCTGTATGACCATGCCATATCCTTCCTTGAGTCCTTAAGATAACACAGGTAGCCTATCTCTATAAGCCATCTTCTTGGAAGAAATGACATGTACCCTGAGTTGACTTTCAATGTAATCATGTTCCCTGTGCACTGGGGATGCTATTACACTAGGAAAGTTGTTTATTATACTGAGTTTGAATGTGGTGAAATTAAACCTTCTGGCATTAGACTACCCAAAATTTGATCCAGGTTGACAAAGTCAATCTGGGCGGAGTTTTCATTCTCACCTCTCCCTGCTTCATTTCACTACTTGCAGTGACACCTACTGGTGCCAAAATGTGGGGCACATGACCCTCTGAGAAGGTAAAGAAAATTTTCTTTAATAAAGGGAGCCATTTTAGGGTTGGTGAGAGACTTGACTTAGAGGTGTTCTCAGGTGTCCATGGAGATGTCCCCAGCTAGATCCTTGGGCAGCTGAGGAGAGGGAGCCTGATGAGGCCCTATCCTATAGCCATACTGATGAATATCTTGCATAACACCATAGAAACTCCATCTGGCGATGGATGAAGCTAGAGACAGAGATCCACATTGGAACACTAGACTGAGCTCCTAAGGTCCAAATGAGGAGCAGAAGGAGGGAGAACATGAGCAAGGAAGTTAAGACAGCAAGGGGTGTGCCCACCCACTGAGACAGTGGGGCTGATCTAATGGGAGCTCACCAAGGACAGCTGGATGATGAAGCATGTGATCAAACCGGACTCCCTGAACGTGGCTGAGCTCAAAGGAATACAGAAAAAAAACTCCAACAACCTGCAGCATGACCTAGGAAGAGGCTGCCACAGACCTTTGTTCTTGTTTTTTTTTTCATTTTTGTTTTTCCCTCATAGCAAGAATAGATGTTTATCATGAGAGAAATGTATTAAAAAGAGGCTACCTTCTAGTCTAGAGACAACTGCAGCTAAGACATAAAGCAATCAATTTGATGCTGATTAAATTTCCTAAGGTATTGGTCATTCAGTATGTGGAGGACTATCTTCTCTCCTGCTCATCAAATCAGTGCTTAAATGAGTACTTGGCTTTCATATTAGATAAGATAAAAGAACAAAATTAAAATTTTGTGTCTAGGTAAACGGGATATGATTTTTAACTGCCTAGCACTACTAAGAGTTTGACCCCATTCTTGTTGCTTCCTGGAGATTCTCGGTTAAATTCTACAAGAAATTTAACACCTAAAATGCAACAGGAAGGTTAAAACTCAACATTAACCCACCTCATGTATACATTAGCACATGAAGGATAGAGATGCACTGAGAACTTAAAACAACCTAACTTAAGAGAAAAGAAATATTGCAGAAGGTCTGCAAATGTAGAAAGGGTGCATGAATGGAAACATTTGTAACAGTGAAGTGGATGGAGCTTAGTAAACAGATGTTGGAAAGGGTGGCACATGAGTGACTTGGACAAAAAATGGAAAAGAGACAAAATGGCATCAGACTTGCACAAGTTCAATCACTGTTGGCAAAGTCAGTCTGAACCGAGATTTCATTCTGATCTCTTTGCAATTCATCTCCCTACTTTAGAGACCCCTCAGTTTGTGTTTGCATTTCTGCTCGTAGTATTCTGGAGCTTCAACTGTTCTCCACGTTTAGTTTAGATTTTTACATTTGATTCACATTTTTCTAGTGACTAATGATAATTTTTTTCTGCATATTTTCCAGCTGTATGTGTGTGTATATATATATATATATGAAAGTCTGCTTTCATTTTCTCCATTTTATATTTTATTATTAATAATATAAACACTGTTATGTGTATTATATGATTAGAAAAAATTTTTGTTTTGTATACATTATTTTCAAATGTCTTTTATATAATCTGTGTCTTGATTTAAAAAATAAAAGTCCTTTAAAGCCAGGCATGATGGCATATACCTTTAATTCCAGGATTTTGGAGGCAGAGGCAAAGACAGATGAATCTCTAAAATTTTGAGGCCATCCTGGTATATATAGTGAA